GATAAAAATAAAATATTTTATTAAAATCACTCGGTTTTTATGGTTTACCAATCGCACCTTTAATGATTGGTGGCGACTTCTCATATTTCGAAAATTACTTTCAAAGAGAAAACCTCGAATCAGTATCGATCTTTCCCCGCTCGGGTGAAAATCGGTGTCCACAACCTCAAAATTGAGCTGAATAAAAATAAGTGAAACGATATAGAATGCTAACCACGCCCGCGTAGTTCACACGTCTAAATGGTACAATGATGCAAAATCGGCTTACATGAAGGCACATGCCATCTCAGGGAGATGAGATGAGATGAAGCAAATAATGTTAGTGGACCACCAATATTTTTTTGCCAGCCTTTTTCTTCTTCTTTTGCAGCAGAAAAAAAGTATTTGAGTGCGTCTGATACTGCACTTTAAGTGGGTGTTTGATGACAAAAACTAGTTGCCAAACTCCATTAAAGAAGGCTTCAATTCTTTTGAAATTACGAATCTCAACTTCTGAAAGCTATTTCTCTACAGTTTCTGGATTTTGTGTAATTTGTTCTTTTTCTTAATTTCTTTTCGTTTATGATTTCGTTTTAAATTACCATCCAAATTATTTTAGGTTCAAATGATGACCTTTTTGGATAAAAATTATTAGCTCAATGTTTTTTTACTGATGTAATAAATCCATATGTGTTAAATCCCTGAATATTTCGCTTTTTTTCCTAATTGGTGGCCATGGATTGTTGATGGTAAAATTGGAGGATAAGCCTGTGACTGTAACGGATTCTGTTTCACATATATATTACAACTTATTTACTTATTTCCCGAGGCTTTGGTTCTTACAGATACTAGGGAGAATACGCAAATGACTTAACATTTGTAACTGTGAAGGCAAAAGTGCAAACACTTGTGAATGAAGTTGTTACTTATCACCTACACAGGTTGTTCAAATGGTAATCAATTTAATCTCTTAAACAGGTTTCGAGTTCGAATTTTTAAATACACAGAAAATTTTCGCTAAGAGGCTCATTCACCAAAACCATGTGTATGACCTGGATCGGCTTGATTAGTCTTAAAAGCAAAACCTTAAGAACTTGAAGGACCAAAAAATATGTTGCTTATTTAACTAGCAGTCACCCTTTGAAACATCGAAGATAATCAAAGTGATTATTCAAACAAACGTAAAAGATAAACTTTGATATATGGATTTAACACTCACACACCTATCATTCCTTGTGCTTGGATTTGAAATCTCAAAAAATAACAATAATTTCTTTACCAATGATGTCTCTCCATATACTTAAATACGAAATTGATGTGAAATACATATATTTTAAAGAATGTTTATATCATAAATAAATACTTAAATATATCATATTTTCCATTAAATTACTTAAATTTATTCAAGACAAGTACTTAGAGTTACTATCTTTTTATCTATGTATCTAAATTATTTTTTGGTCAAAGTATATATATTACATCGTTTTTCATTTAGATTTTTAAAAGTTTACATGGGTTTTAAAAGAAATGTTGTTATTCCTTGAGGTCATGGGTTCGGGCACCTTGGATGTCAGGTGTGTAAGCGTTTAGTATCAAATGGTTGAGAGTTATTTTTGAACAGACACTACCTTATACTTACCACAGATTAATAAAGAAAAACAATTAACATGTGACATTAATTAAAAATATTTTAATTATCTAGATGAAAAATAATGTACTCTATATATTTATTTTGATAAAAAAATGTTTTATATATTTAAATAGAAATGATAAAATATTTATTTATGATATATAAATCCTGAAAGAAAGAAAATAAAGATGGTTATAGACAAAGGGGGTGTGCCCATTTTAGAGAGTCCATAATTGATTGCCAAGATTTGTAAGACATACATATGGTTCATAGTAATGGGAAGTCTATAAACAAAGATGCAAATTTGATTTACATACACATGGGGAAATTAATGGATGGGTGGCCACTCCAACATCTATAAATACACCTTCCTTTTCACCTTTCCGGTTTACATCTTCATCCGCCGCTAATAATTCCCAAATTTACCATCTATTTTAGTTTTCCACGTTTTTCAAAAGCAAAATGGGACATATTTATTAGATTTTACACTTTTTTTTCAAAAAAATCAATCAACTTAATTTGGTTAAAAAATTATATTTGAATTACAACAAAGGAAATAAATTAGATTGAAAATATTATTTTTCGACTGTTCTCTCAATTTCTAAAGTTTTGCCTTGATTATTATAGATCGACCCGAGTTGCACAATCTGATTTTAGTGAGAAAGTCTCCTAACATCGATTTTCTACATTCACAAGGACTATATCTTCAAAAAGTTTCATTGATTGATCATTACACAATCCATGCATAAGCTCAAACCGGACTCAAAACAGACTATATTCTATTATATAGTCCTTTAATTAATGCTATATCTTTTTCAGATCTCTTCTATAAAATTATACTTTGTTGTGTATGATCAAATTTCTCGAGGATAATTTTATATTTCTCGAAAAATTATGAATTTTTGACATGAATTTTAGTAAGTATTACGTAATATGTTAGAATTAATTGACAGCTAACCACATTAATTAAATCTATAACTATGTTAGTTTACAAATAATCATAATGATCTTATGTCTGATATCAACACTAAAGATCATCATAAGATTTCTCGATCAAGACCGAGATAAGGTTAATATATGAGATTTTAACTTCAACGTTTCACGTAAAACAAAATTTTAAAATTAACTAACGTCCGTATGATCGATCATCAACTATAATTCTCCATCCAAATAAAAACGAGAAGTCCCTTAAAATTGTCGTTACTCGTTATTCTTGCCGGCCCTTAACTAATACTATTTGAGTATAATATCATTTGTTAAATAAAAGAGGAACACAAATTTTACCACTGACGAAATGTTGAGAATTAAGCAATGCCAGCTGGAAAGCTTTTAGCCTACATTCTGTTTTCTCAATGCTTTAATTCCATTCTTTTTAGAATATTGTTCATTTAGTTTCAACGCGAAACCTAAGTATATTAACAGATTCAGTACAATTACCCATACCCCCCCCCCCCAGGTGCACAAACACACAAAAACACGAGTTAACTGCGCATGCAAACATGCATAAGCTTGCACATTTCAATTAATTAAATATGAAGAATCCCCAGTAATTATGAGTTTATAATATCTAAACATAGGGAGTGGGCAGGAATTAGGCACACAAATAAAACAAAAAACAACTGCTACAAAAGCCGTTTTTGGGGGTTGAGAGTGTTAAATATTAAGGCTCGTACTAGTTTTAATTACTTTAAGCAGCATATAGTTTCAGTTCCTCTAATCTTGGCAATTCAAGTACTGAAAAAAATATAAACCCTGACCTAATGCCAACAGAGACGACCATAAGAAACTAGCAAAAATGGGATTTGCTAAAATCCAATGTTTCCTTTGTCTAGGTAGGGTGGGTGGATGAGGATGAGGGTACAAGGCATGCATACTCCATAACCCGCTCATGTTTATCATTCAATCATATTATAAACAATATGTATGTATGCAGGGACGGAGTCATGTTATAGGTGGGAGGGGCTATTGTCCCCCAAATTTTGATGGTCTAATTATATGTTCAGTCACTAGTAGTTTTAAAACCAATGTAATTAAGTAACTGGTAGTTTTAAAACCAATGTAACGGGCGGATGTATGCGGTCTTCATGGGGTTCAATTACATAACCATTATTTTGAAAATACTACTAATCTAGTTTAATAAATTAAGGGGAATGAAAAAATAAAGAAATTTGCATACTCATTTTTTCAGAAAATATAATATTAAAAATTTGAACCCATTTTTTAATTTCTAGATCCGTCACTGTAATGTAATTAAGTCACTAGTAGTTTTAAAATTAAAAATTACAAAAAAAAAACTCAAATTCTTTTATTATAAAAAAATTCAAAACCCTAAAATATCTAATTTAAATACCTATTTCCAGTCGTCATCGCCGGCCATCTAGACCACAGTCTCTATCGCTATCCACCCACTGACCGATCATCACCTTTGTCGTTTTCGTAAACCCCTAAATACATAAACTCATAAATTTCTAACCTAAGCTTAATGAGTGAGAGATTAGATAGGATTTGATCCCAACACGAGTTTCATACTGAGATTTGAGAGAAAAAACGCCGAATTGAAGGATCAAATATTGAATTAGCGTCAGGGTTGAATTAGCATCATTGAGCAGGGGAAATTGGTGCCGCCTCAAGCCTGGAACAAGAGGAAGGGGAAGGCCAGTGATAAAATATTAATTTTTTAAAAAATAGTTTTTCCTTCAGAAATATTTTTTAAAGTTTTAAAAAAATAAAAAGAAAATAAAAACTTAACACATATCACTCAACAGTGAAATTTAATATCCATCAAATACCTAAAATTATAATATTTGTAATATTAAGCACATGGAATAACTGAAAGTTTAGACACCGCTTAAAAAAATCGATATAATTTAGATATTTATTTTATATTAAACCTATTTTTTCAAAGTGTATGCACCTGAATTTTAAACCTAACGTATCATACTTGTAAATAGACCGCCTGATACTTACATACATTGTATTCATGCATTTGTTAAATGTTTCGTGAAGACAAGAGGAAGGCAATCCTGTTTGTGATTCAATTACGATAAGTTTCCTTTTACTAAGAAAATAGAACATGGAAAATATAAACAACGCTAAAATCAAGTGGTGCACGCGTGCGAAGAATAGCTGTGTATGTGTGAAGAAGCGTGCTATGAGGCGCTCACGTGTGGCTAGGTTTTATATAATACGCATGAAGAGAATGCACTCAGTGGTATAGTAGTAATAGCAGTAATCAAACGAAAGAATTTAAAAGTTTTTAAAGCTTTGCGCTACTTTTTGCATTGCTTTTCATATTGATATGTGTACAGATTAGGAGGCAAAGAAACAGGTCAGAAAGAGAGATTCTTCCATTGCTCCTTTATCTGGGATTTGTGAGCCGAAGTATATACATAAGAAAAGAGATTAGCCAAAAATGGAGTTGGAAAGTGAAACACAGCAGTCAAAATTTAGGAGGATTTGTGTGTTTTGTGGAAGTAGCCAAGGCAAAAAGAGTAGCTATCAAGATGCTGCTATTGAGCTTGGGAGGGAATTGGTATTTAACATAAAGCTCTGTTTTTTATCTGCTTTTTACACAAAAATGAGACTTGTTTTGGTGATGGTCTTGTTTTTTACTTACATGGAGGAAAAGGGTTCTGCAAGAAATCTTTCAAAAGTAGCTTAAAGCTATAAACTTTTGTTTCCATCTTGTTGAATACCATTTCCTTGATGTTTGGAACCTGTTTGTAAAATGGTTTAGGGTATCTAGCATTTAAAAGTCCCTCAAGTTTGTAGCTTTCTGCTAGCTTTTTGGTTTCAGGGTAGAAAAGATAGGGCACTGTTTTCCCATGGAATCTTTTTGTGTTGGTAAACTTTTGAATGGACTGTGAAGAAGCATTGGTTTTGTCAAATAAGTTAAATGTAAAGACAAACATGTTTGTTTTACAGGTCTCAAGGAACATTGATTTGGTCTATGGAGGAGGTAGCATAGGTTTGATGGGTTTGGTTTCACAAGCTGTGCATGATGGTGGTCGCCATGTCATTGGGTAATGAAACTAAAAAAACTCCTCGTTTCCCAAGACATTCCAACAAGTTTTAAGAAATACATTTGGTCATTGAAACTGGCTTTTTGTTGCTATTGATAACATGGTCTTCCTTATTACAAAGATATTGTTTTCCATTATACCTGAATTTTTGTCTCTCTGCAGTGTTATTCCCAAGACGCTCATGCCTCGAGAGGTATGTCTGCTTGCTGTAACCAGGGGAAAAAGTCATTAACCTTTCCTTATCCAAGTTAATTAAAAAAAATACAAAAGAAGTGACCTTAGTGGTTATGAGATTATTATTATCTCTTGAAATCTTAAATTAGAGCATGACTTGTGTAGCGATATATGAATGGTATCCACGTTATTACTGGGACAACCGCAACTTTCCACTTTACCACTTTCATTTATGGATACGAGGTGAAATATTAGAGGCTGGGGACATTTCTGAGAGTTGATATCTTTGAATGAAGTCCATTATTCCTGCAACTCTCATCATTGCTTCACTGCACAACACTCAGAAATGATCACTTTCCTCTTTCTCTACAGATTTCAGCCTTACTTTTTGTGTGCCACTTTGCAGTTAACTGGTGAAACAGTAGGGGAAGTGAAAGCTGTTGCTGATATGCATCAAAGGAAGGCAGAAATGGCTAAGCATTCAGATGCTTTTATTGCCTTACCAGGTACACCAAAATAACAAAGCAAATCAACGCAACTTTGAAGATATCAACTGCTTTTAATTTCACCAATTCACCATATCTCATTTTTTGATTCACTGAAAATTAGACCTTTGAGGAACTCTCTTTCCATGATACCTACAATATCGACAGAGCTGAAGCGAATCCTTTTTACCACTTTGAAAAGCCTGCCTTTTCTACTTCTTTTTCAACTCAACTTTAAATTCGCATTATTTCTTACTTAGGAAATTTTAAACAAGAAAAAAGACAAATAGATAAAAGTAATTATACTATAAACGATATTAAATTATTAAAGGATTAAACGATAACATATAAAACTTTATAATTTTAGTTATATATATAATTGTGTCAGATATGAATATAATAACAAAATATATTTCTTCATTAAACAGATGGGGTCATAAATTTTTTATGTTAAATCAAACAAAATTCAGATGACAAATTAAATATATGTAACAAAATATATTTACGTGATGAACCGATAATAGATCTATCATTTTGATTTTGATTTTTAGCAGCATTTTTATCATAGGAATGTTATCTGCCAAAAGAAAAATGAAGGTGAGCCATTAATGAATGGTTAGGTATAGGATTGTTAGAAATGACCATCCAGCTCAGTTGGTAGAGCACAAGGTTCTAAACCTTGAGGTCGTGGGATCAAGTCCCACGGAGGGCATTTCATAATTTGGAGGTCTCCTACGGAAGCTGCTCTCAACCTGATGTTGGGGGCAGCCTACTATCTTACCTCCCCCTTACCCCATACATATGGGAAAAAAGGGACAGCCATTTTTTTTTAGGTATAGGATTGTTACTATTAGCAAAAGTAATAAAAGTAATTTTGAACTCTTATAACTTTATTTGAATAAGTCGTCCTACTTTTTACACACCTTGATGTGTCTTAACATTTTGACTTGTATTTCAGTAAGTCCTTGACCTTTAAATTATACCTAAAGTAAGTTCAAACCTTTAATTTATGTACTTAAATAAACCCTTAATCAACTTTTATTTAGGTACAAGTAAAACCTCATCTGGATAGGAGTTGGTCTACATAAAGCATGCGACTTCAGAGGCTGCTTCTTCTTTAGAAAACTATTATAGGCATACTTTTGTTTTCACAAGGATGAGAGCTATAAATACCCTGTTTTTGGAACGCGGAGAAGAGGGGTGAAGTAAGGACAGACGTAAGACTTTATATTAGATGTCACGTTTATGTTTATAAAATTTTAGGGGATGATACTATGACAACTCATTATGCCTATAATAGTTTAGGCCATTATGCATGCCATAAATGATAAAAATGAAGGCCATCTAATGACAGGCAGTTGAAATGCAGTGTCTTTCTGCCTCTTAATCAAGTTTAGGCATCAATCAAATGTTTTGTACTATTAAGTGAAATCACAATTTCTAAAATGAAAACGCATTGGCTGTTATGTTCCATGTTACCATCTCTTTTGCAGCATCACAAGAGTTTGGTTGCTAACTATAATGGATGAAGAAAACTCATACTAAGTACATGCAGGTGGTTATGGAACTCTTGAAGAACTGCTAGAAGTCATTACCTGGGCTCAGCTCGGAATACACGATAAACCGGTGCTTACTCACTTTTTCGCACACATGATAAACCTATATTACTCGTTCTTGGAGAATCAGCAACATAGTGTCAATAATGCATAGTTTTGCCACATTGTTTCAGGTTGGGTTGCTGAATGTGGATGGATACTACAACTCATTGCTTTCCTTTATGGATAAAGCTGTGGAGGAAGGATTTATTAGTCCAAGTGCACGCCAAATCATTGTATCTGCACCCACTGCAAAGGAGCTAGTAAAAAAATTAGAGGTATACATCAAAGGAACTTAATTCCCTGTGCTATTCCTTCATTAACAACAATGCATATACATAAATATATACAAACATGATACATGTGTGTGTGTATATATATATATATAAATGAGTTCAGATTCATATACACAGTGTAAAACTTTTTTAGTTTTACACAGATTTAAGATCTTTGAATGAGTGAAAATTGACGATTTTTTCAGTAAATATATTTTCATTTCCTATTAATTTCAGCCGTCTATTTCAACTCATCTAACGATCCTATATTTATGTAAAAATAAAAAAAAATACACTCTGTAATTGGATTATATCTTTGTATATACATATATAATAATAACCCTCCAAAAGATGTACTTTGTTTCATGTTTACTTAAAATTATAGGAATATGTTCCCTGCCATGAGAGAGTTGCTTCCAAGTTGAGTTGGGAAATGGAAAAGCTTGGCTACTCCAAAACATGCGATATATCAAGGTATTCTTGAAGAAATACAGATGGTATTTGCAAGAATGTAATTGAGGAAGAAAAACAAAACAAAATTTCCTTCAATGGGGGAATTAATTTGTAAAATACTGCTATTGATCATTATATGAATTTCCACCTTACTCTTTTAGTGGAAAATTAACTCCTTTTACATTGTAAGTTTCTTATTATGTACAGTGCCTTCCATGATGTAGTAATCTGACTTATGACAAGTACCTGACACCTGCTTTCAATGCATGATGGCCTAATGGGATATTAGTATGAAGATATGACCATATAAGATTCTTCAATTACATGAAAAATATAAATAAAAATGTACTTGTATCGAATATATACCCATTTATAACACTTTAAGTCGTTTTTATTAATTTCATAAGAGAAGAAACAAATGCAGGCCTCTAAGTACAAGTCACCTCACTTAGAATATAAATAAAAATGTACTTGTATCAATTATATTTGACATAGGATTACAAACTATTTAAATAAATAAAAGAAGAGACTTTGAGAGATGAGATATGGAATTATTGACCCATTTTCATAGAGTTGTGCATTAGGGTTTAAAAATTTTGGACCGACGGTTGATTAGAATCAGATTCGGGTATGTTAAAGTTTGCTTACACCATGTTCCATTGCCAAAAGGCATATATTATATGGCATTGACACCGTAGATTAAAGATATCATACCTCTTGGATTTTGATCCGACTTATACATTAGCTTAGTATGTTTTATAATTATTTAAATTTATTCTAACTTAAAATATACGTTAAAAAATTGTTTAAATCTATCTATATTTTTAAATAATTAATTCAAACTCATTTTTTGTTTGTTTGTTTTTCTTTATTATTTTAAAAAAAACTTAATTTATTTTTAATATACTAACATTTAATAGTTTTATATAATTTTCATTTTATTAAATTTAATCAAGGGCAGTGGTGATAGCCTCCTTCAGTCATTTCCCTGTCATTTTTATATTTTTATTATTCGATTTTATAAACCTTTAATTATATTTTAATAAATTTAAAATAATTGTTTTCTTTTAGTTCTTTTTCTAATAAATGATACTATAGCTATCAGTGTTTTTTTTGGTCTATGGTTTTTCGAGATTTTATGGTTGATTGCTTTTCCGATGTCTGATTTCTTTGTTCGTTTGTATATGTCATTTTTTTTAGTTCCGGACATATGTGTCTGACGAGACTGTGGTTAAAGGAAGATTTATTTTTCATTTGTTCAAGGTTTTCCTCTTCTATATATGTTGCTTTAGGAAGTCGGAGTGATCCATCTCTATATGTCATTGGTTCAGTTGTTCACGTTCTTGCTTAAATGACTATCAATGATCGATCACCGATATATTTTGTTTATTGTATTTTTCTTATATACATGTGGCAAGACGTTGTTGATGATGTTTTATCTGACCAATGAATATATTACAGTTTTATATTAAAAAAAATACTTTCTCAAATTTTAAATATTACTTTAAAGGTTGAACGAATAATCATCTATGGAATAAATTTATTTTGGAACTAATTCGGAAACTATGTTATTACGTGCTCTTAAATTTGAATGATTTAATTAATTAAAAGACTTATATAAAAATAGGTGTTCAAATTATACTCAAAATTAATCTTAAGGACTTAAAGAATCTTTCGCTTAAAATAAGTATTTACTATTTTCAACATTATACTTTTAGATGTCTATATCGTAATGATCATTAAACTCGATCGTTATTCAACACGAGACACGTTTATAAAATTTTAAAAATTTTATTTAAATTTAAAACTTAATATTATATTTCTTTTACAAAAAGAAAAGCCCGAAACTTTAAAAAATTACCCTAATACCCAAATACCTTAACTCTAACCTTATCTTGCTATTATCATTATCATCGTCATCGTCATCGTTGTCACGCAGTTGATGTTATCGACCAAAGGCCAAATGGAGCATAACCCCCTTCATTCGCATAGCAATCTCTCCCCTCCGCCGCCATTTGTATAGTAATCTCCATTCTCGTTCGTCTGTCCGTGTAAAAATTAAAACCACCCCAAATATGAACGTAACAAGCTTTGAAAGTTGAATCTCCAAGTGTGAACGCGAAACAAACAACCCCCAAAGTTAATCCCCGGTGGCACCATAAAAAAATAATCCCCGACGACAATTAAAGATAAATTTAAGGTCATGATTTAGGGGTTTTGAGATTTGGGAGTTTAGGTCAACGGTAAAAGTGATGATTGGTTAGTGACACGACTAGTGGGTAGACATTCAACAACGACAATAATAACCAACGACGATCAATGACAGTTAAAAAAGGCTTTAATATTAAGGATTTTAATTTTTTCGATGGATTTTTATAATTTCAAAAAATAGGTTTTTTAAAATTAAATATTCTTATTTTTTTAAAATAAATTTTTAAAAACTTTAAACGTGACACGTGCTATTTTCAAAAAAATAGGTATTTTAAAATTAACTATTCTTAATTTATCTTCTGATAGAAGGTAATGTTTCGTTTCGTTTCAATTACCGTTTCATTTGCGTTACAGTTTTACTTAAATTCCATCGGTATATGTTTTATCATTAACTAAAAATAACTGAAAAAGGAGTTATATATATCACAATCTGTACAGCCGTTACCAAAACTAAAAAATAGAATATGCATTTTCTGAGAAATGGGTTGCTGAAACATATAAACAAAGAGGGATGATCCAACGGTGAATTAAACTCATTTCTGACCTTTCCCTGATTAGATTCTGTTCACCCCTCATTTTCAGTGGAGACTCAATTTAATAATCATAATCACAATATAACAATTTCTTTTCTCTAAGCCCAACAATTTCATTTACCATATAACTTTTATAAGCAAAAAAAAAAAAACAGAGTTTCAAATTCCGCAACACTAATTTGGAGATTGAGAAGGCTGCCATCTTAGCACTGGGAGGCTCATCAGCAGATATACAAGAAAAGCCTCGCATCCCGAGGACGTTTTCCCTCTCAAAGCTTTTCGCACCGAGGGCTAAAAATACATTGTCGTTACCAGGTACTCCAACCGCGCAGTCAAACCCGGAGTCCATGCATGGTGGGCAGGTGATTAGCCTACTAAATTCTGCAGCAAGTGTTGAACACATTATTATCGATGCATGGGCTACTACCTCTGTGTCACTGAAGATCCTTAACAACTATTTATGTTGTTGTACTTTTACGAAGCCATCAATTCATCATGCTCATCATATCCATTGGCATTTATATCAATAACTGGTGCATTTATATCTTAGTATCCATGCATTAGCTACAACTGCGCATGTAAATGTTTGCTGCACCTACCAGTTTGAAGAGTTCCTTGACTTTATATACAGAACATAATCCGGGGAACTTAGAATTTCCTTTTAAGACGTGTACATTAATTTGGGAACTTTTGGTGTCAGTATCTCTTCTAAGGATTGCAGTTAAATTTTATGCTTATTGCCTCGATAATTTAATTGCCGCATGAATTTGCATTTCGACCTTTATCCCTGGTGTGTGTCGTACTATTTTCTACATGGTTCTTACAGAATTGCTCACTTTACAGAAAGGAGGCGCTTCCGGACCACCCATCCATCGTTCACATTCAGTGCCTGTGCTCAACGAAGATGGAAGCATAACACAGTTGGATTCTTTAGGCGGTGTATTTCGTGTGATTCCTACAACTCCACAAGCAATCAAGGGAACTGTTGTAACAACATCAAACATAATTACCAACAGTGATACTAGTAATTTTAATCGGCTTGCATCTGCTGGCAAATTCGAATTATTTATTTATAATTATATGTTAGGTTTGGATTGCAATTGGGGTGAACTTTGAATGCTAAGATGGTTTTTTAGCTTCTGATTTCCTTTTTATGCGTGTGATAACCAACCTATGTCTTATGTTAGTCTTATTGTTCAGATGGAAACAATGATGGCGGTGAAGATATTCCCGAAGAAGAAGCTGTTTGACCGAGCTAGGAGAAGGTGCCGAGACCCTCAAGATGGAATGTAGCTGCAAAGGAGAACTTGCCCTTGCGCACCAAGAATGTGCTGTAAAATGGTTTAGCATCAAAGGTAATAAAACTTGTGACGTGTGCAAGCAAGATGTCCGAAACCTGCCTGTCACTCTTTTACGAGGTCAAAATGTTCAAGCTGATAACATGAGAGGAACTGGGGTTGAAGGTCCTAGATACATGCAAGTATACGGTGTCCATCTCTGTGGTTTGCTACAAACAGTAACTGTATTCCTTTTTACTTTCATTTATAACTCCTTCGGAATGTAAAATACTATATTACTTCTCTAGACTGTGGATGTTATGTATTTTGGTTCGACATTACCTTCGAAAATTTCGTAACTTAAAGGTTATTTCAGCAGGGTCTGGCAGGATGTTCCCATTCTTGTCATTGTTAGCATGCTGGCTTACTTTTGTTTTCTTAAGCAGCTGCTGGTAAGTTCAGCTAATATGGAAATGCTTCCTTCCTTACGAGCTTTTACCTGCTACTAAAGTCATTATGTACCCAGGTTTCGAAAATTAAGTCTGGTGCAATTGCCATCTCTCTTCCTCTCTCCTGTATATTGGGTCTACTTGCATCGATGACATTGACAACAATGGGTAACTTTCTTTCGACAGTATCGTTCCTGTGAATTTTATTTCATGTCTTACTGATCCCATTTCTCTTTTCAGTGAGGAGAAAATACGTCTGGATTTATGCTACGACTCAATACGCACTGGTGGTTCTTTCTGCACATCTTTTCTTCTCGTTGGTAAGAGAAATACTCGTTCTCAATAATGCAACTTTTTGAACAGTTAGAATCTAGAAGTCTTTGATTATAGGCTGCATTAGTTAGATATAGAGCTTTCCGTGTAATTGAAAATAAATCCTGGTTTTTTGTATGATCTACAGCTCCACATACAGGCTGTTCTCTCTGTTTGCATTTGTTTGGCTCGGTGGCACAATGTATGGAACCTCTATTATTTACGAAGTTCCGAATTTGTGGAGAAGGCGGCTTGCAGAATCAAGTCAACCACTAAGTTCTCCAGAGGCACCACGGTCGGACCGACCACCAGAAACAGTGCCGCAGACGGATACTCGCACTACTGAAACTGAAATGAGAGCTTTAGAAAGTGGGAATGCCAATTAAATTAAAGTTGTAAAAATGGTATAAGATGAAAACTTTCTGCTGTACAAATACCACCTCATTTTATACAGATGCTTGTCTATTGTTGGTTTTATTAACACTAAATGGAGAAAGCCCCCCCTCTTTTTCTTTTTTTTTGTTAATTTCAGTTCCAAGAATGTGTTTCAATAATCATTCAATTACCATAAATACTGAGATTCTGGAGTGAATCATTGAAGAAAGGCTTAAACTGAAGGCTCCTCAATTTCTTATCATCGACTTATACAAGCTTTAAAATGAAATAAAAATGGAGCAAAACTTTGTGAGGATAAATTGTTCATCTAAGAAACCAATTTTAATGGTATAAGTTACTTGAAAGATGTCAGTCTTCTAGTCATTTTCGTGTTAGGGCTCGAAAACAAAATATGCACTATCATAACCATTTCGCAAAGGTAATCAAAAGTTGAAACCGAAACCGCCGCCGCCGCCAGGAAATCCTCCTTCAAACGTAAATGTGAAATGCTGTCCGCTGCCACCACCACCACCAAATGGGTTGAAACCGCCACCGCCCATACCCATATCTTCAATGTCTTCTCCTCTGTCATACCTTGCTCTCTTTTCCTCGTCTCCAAGAACCTTTAAGCGAAAAGCAACATGTCAGCCGCAGTATGCTATTGACATTTCATTCATTTTATGTAAAATGTATTAATGATCACGAAGTTATATAAAAAAAATTGAAAGTTAAAATCGCATAAAGATGATAAAGAAAGTTCAATAGTAATGCATCATACCTCATATGCAGCAGCTATTTCTCGGAATTGTGCCTCTGCTTCTTCTCTATTATCAACATTCTTATCTGGGTGCCATTGCAAAGCAAGTTTCTTGTATGCACGTTTTATTTCGGCAACCGAAGAAGTCTTTGAAACCCCAAGAACTTTGTACCAGTCTTGGCGTTTGCTTACCTTCAAAGCTTTCTCGGCCCTCATAAGAGCTTCACGGATATTCATATCCTGCGAACGAAGTTTTGGCTCTCATGAATCATGAATTAGAATGCACAACTGATTACTATTTTCCGGGGGAAGAAAATTTTAATAGAGACAAATATCATCTTAAGTAAATACTACGACTAACCTGAGGTGATTTTTCAGATGCTGATTTTAGGTCTTCGACAGCACCTTCCCAGTCCTCTGTTAAAAGCTTAGCCTCACCCCTCTGACACATGCAGATACAGTTAAAAAACAAGAATTATGAAATTATGTTCAACCTATTGAAGTGGCAAGTTATACAAAGCGAATCAAATTATTCAAATCGAATCAAATTATTCAAATCTATTGCAGACCTGTACTAAAGCTTCAATAAGTTCCCCATCAATGTTGAGTGCCTCAGAGCAACTACTTAAAGCATCCTTCCCTCTTCTAAGCTTAACCAAGATCTTACACAATCCAAGGTGAAGATGCACATTATGAGCGAGATGATTTGGGTCCAATGCAAGTGCCGCTTTATAGTCCTCAATTGCCAGGCGCAGCTTACCCTTGTTTACGTTATCTTCGGCCTACACATTCCATGAGTTTGAATATCTTGACAAAATAGGATACATATTGCATGATATGAGCATCTTTTAAGTTTAAAAAACATAAAAATAGGGCCAATGCTAAATTCCCTTGTATCTATAGGGCTACACTGATCTCATACAAGACAAAAAAGGAGGGAGAATTCAAAAGATGCTTGATGGGCTTACACTTTTAGTCTTCTTCAGTAAATTTTTCAATCCAAAATATGCTTTCTTCAGTTCACTGTGCTCTGGATCAAGGCGAAGACCTTTCTGGTAATGCCTGGAAAATTTATTATATATATATATATCACAATTTCGAATGTTACCCAACAGCATCATAATACTTTTTTCCAAGAAAAATGTGAACAAACCTTTGGGCAACATCATGATCTGCTAAATGGTAGTACGCGCGACCACGAAGGAGTAAGGCCTCAAGATCGTTCTCATCTCCCTTGAGAATAAACCCAGTTTCAGATATAACACTAGAATAATCTTTAGCTGCTAATAGCAGCTTCACCTTTAGGACCTTAGCCTACAGCAAATGATTCACATTAGAGTTTATAAAGATCTAAAAAATTCAGAAAAATAAAATGCAAAGTTGAAGTATGTGCTACCTTTGAGCATGCTGGAGAAAAAACTAAGACAACTTTGTCCACATAATCAAGGGCTTTCATATAGTCCTCAGATTCAAGTAAACTGAAAGCTGTTACCAAAGCACTTTGAGCCTGTTGCAACTGGGACAATTCCTTTTCGGCAACAGAATTTCCAGGTTTTTGTTCCAGAAACTTTTTGTAGCTTTTCTCAGATTCCTCATATCTACATTGAAAAAACACCTCATATGATTTTCCAATCAGAAGTTATGGTGAGATGGTGTGAGAGAAAATAATGGAAACAGTTTACTTTGAATGTGCAAGGAACCATAAAATTTACAAAAACATTGGTTCCGCATTTATTTTCGAGATAGTATTAGAAAAATGCCATCAAAGACCTTAGGATATATCAATACAACTATATTTTGTAATAATCGTCATTTTTAAGGAAAAGTGAAAAGGGGAAAAAAGAGTGGTGAATGAAAGATTACAAATATATATGAATATCCAAACTTCCTATTATTCAACAGTACCGGCATAGCTGACGCAGAAGCGATGCTCGGCGTAAATATGCTTCTGAAAGTGCTGGATCTGCCTCAATAGCAGCATTAAGATCATCGAGTGCCTCACTGTAACGCTTCACTTTTATACTCTGTGAAACTCTCTCAAATAACTCAGCAACATTTCCCGTGTTTCCATCTTCACATCCAAGTGGAAATGTTAAGCAAAGAAACAGTGAAGTGTATGCATTTGCTAACCAATAGTTGCAATCAGACTATTAATTAAAACTCCAAGAATACGGATTCTAATATTCAAACAGGATGCACCAGAGAAGCGTAATGGGGCTAAAGACCAAACATGATGATAAACCATAAAAATATGAGAAAACCATCCTTCCTGACCTAATTAAGATCCAAAGTTTGATTTTCATTATGTACGATAACAGGGTTGGACTTTCATAAAATTCACAATTCTACATAAGTTGGATAAATGAAGATGGCAATGCAGAAGAAATTAATAAAGTATAAAATGACTAAATGACTAATTAAATGCAGAAGATATCACTGAAAACAAACAATTCAGATATAAAAACGGACTAGAAATTTTCCCTTTCCCTTTCCCTTTCCCTTCCAAGACTTCAACTTTCTCACAATCTCTGACCCCAAAAACTTCCTTTAACCATAAACAAAACCCAGGTAATCAATCAAATTATACAACCCACATTTACATCAAAACCCCACTAATCTTGTCCAACAAAACCATCTATCAAATCATCAAAAAAGGGAATCCTCCAAAAACACACAGAAATAAATAAATACTTGACTAACCCAAAGCAGAAACGAGCGGCTGAAGAAGCAAAAGCTGACAAATCAATACAAAATTAAGTATAAAAACTGTGTAGACCAATCCTTTCCATGCCATCGAATCAAAGGGCCACCTCAAACTCGAACACTTCAACATTGTTCTTCCTCAGTTTCTACGAATCAATAGATTTACATAGGCATGCCTTCTTTACGTTAATTTGGCAAATTTTTGCTTTGGGGATTTTAGAAAACTCCCAACATTTGTTTGTAAAAAGGAAATTAATGGTTTTATTTTACAAATTTGATCCAAGTCATTCTAGATTTGAAGAAATGCTTAGTGATCCGAGAAATTGTATGTCATTCCACGTTGTTCTAACCAATTGAGAGAACGCACGTGGATTTTTATAGTGTGACCAATGCCTACGTAGGATTTTATAACCAATAGAAGATTGACACATCGTCGAGTATCTTTTTCTGGACTAGGGATTAGGGGTGTAAACGAGTCGAGTCGAGCTCGAATATTGTTGAGGTCGACTCGAAAACTCTGAAATGAAGCTCGACTCAAATTCGAAATCTTGAACTGAAGCTCGTGAGTAGCTCGAAAAGTCTCAAAATGAAAAAAAATCTTAAAACTTAACTCGATTGAAGCCTTAAACTCAAAATCGAACCTGAACCTTAATTACATGAAAATCTTATTGTATCTTTTAAAAAATAAATACATAAATGTTAATATTATTAATAATTTATTTTTAAAAAAATAAAATCTTAGTATATTATATTTTCGAGCTGCTCACGAGTTTTTCAAGTCGAATATCAAGTAGCTCGTTTCGGCTCGTTAAGAACTCAAGTCAAGTCCATTAGATCCGAGTATTTATTAAGCCTTGATCGAGTCGATTTCGAGTAGCTCGCGATCTGTCTCGTCTCATTTACAGCCCTAATAGAGACTGGCCCAAGCTAATACTTTCCTAGACGTTCTTAATCCAGGTTTTTTTCCGATAATTCAGGGTATTGGGCCAATAAGGAAATTATTTTGAGAACTACAATATTTCCTTCGGTGCACAAGGAAATATAATATTTTAATGAATGAGTTCCACGTGAGTATTAAATTATTAGTTTTATTGGGACTCGCCACGTTGAAGTGACAAGTTCATAAAAAAATTTTGTTAAAAAAAATTAATTTAGAAAATTAAAAAAAGGTGATGAGTACCTTTGAATTAAAAAAATAGATGTTTCAAGCCGTTTGTCAACGGTCATATGTAACTCATCACTGACTAAAAATTAAAAAAATAAATTAATTAAGAAACAAATTTAAAATTTGTATTAAGATAAAATTGTTTATAAAGTAAAAAATTATTTGCAATCTAATAAAATTAATTTATATTTCCTTAGTTCTTGTTGATG